TGGATTGACTGGTTTGCATGTGAATGGTGTGCTGGCAGGCAAGTCCTTCACTATCTCTAGGAATCTGCTAGCCCTGAGAGGGGCAGTCCCTCTGGGGTCAGCCAGGCCCCAGCTGTCAAAACATCAGAATAAAAAAGACATGCTTGAAGCATAGAGGATTTTTAGGGCAGTGAAATACTCGATGTGATACCATAATGATGGATCCATGTCATTATACATTTGTCCAAACACAGAATGTGCACCAGTAAGAGTGAACCCTAATGTCAGCTATGGGCTCTGGGTGATGATGACGTGTCAATGTAGGTTCATCAGTGGCAACAAATGTCCCACTCTGGTGGAGGAGGTTGATAATGGGGAAGGCTAGGCCTGTGTGGGGCCGGGGCTATGTGGGAAATCCCTATGCCTTCCCCTGAATTTTGCTGAGAAAATGCTCCCCCCCCAAAAAAAGTCTTAAAAATAAAAATATAGGGCCAGCCTGGTGGCTTAGTTGTTAGGTTTGCGCGCTCCACTTCAGCAGCCTGGGGTTCGCGGGTTTGGATCCTGGGTGCAGACCTACACACCGCTCATCGAGCCGTGCTGTGGCAGCGTCCCACATACAAAATAGGGGAAGATTGGCAAGGATATTAGCTCAGGGCCAACCTTCCTCAGCAAAAATAATAATAATAATGATAATAACAATAATAAAAGGGCCGGCTCCGTGGCTTAGCGGTTAAGTGCGCGCGCTCTGATGCTGGCGGCCCGGGTTCGGATCCCGGGCGCGCCCCGAGGCACCACTTCTCCGTCCAACGCGAGACCGAGTCCCACGTACAGCAACTAGAAGGATGTGAACCTATGACATACAACTATCTACCGGGGCTTTGGGGGGAAAAAAATGAATAAATAAAATCTTTAAAAAAAAAAAAAAACAATAATAAAAATATTAAAACGAAACAACATAAAATTATGAGTTGACAATTAGCTGTGGCTAGAACCACACTGTTCAGTAAGGTAGCCACCAGCCACATGTGGCTCTTGAGCACTTGAGATGTGCTACAAGTGCATTTTGAGTACAATAAACCATGTTTTGAAGACCTATGTGCAAAAAAGGGAGATACCTCATTAATAATTTTTATTTGATTACATGTTGAAATGGTAATATTTTGGAGAGATAGGGTTCAATAAAATACATTATTAAAGTTAAAAAATAACTCATTAATTAATTCATACAGCACTGGATCAGTACATGTGGAATGCAGGAGTCAGACCTGGGCTTGGAATCTGGCCCCTGTTTACTTGGTCGGCAACTTAACCTCTCTGGGCCTCAGTTGGTTTTTTTTCCCCTGTCAATGTGGATAAATATTTATATGGTTATTGTCACCTCAAGCCACTCTCTTTAAAGGAGCCCCACCATCCCCAGCATGCAGTAGGTATGCAATAGGTATACAGCAGATGCGTACAGTAGGCGCTCACTGTTTGCTGAATGAATGAGATAACAAATGGCCCCCAACAGGTGTTCAGTGAGGATCAGTGGCATCACTGTCATCTTTCAGGGCTGGGACACGTCTGCTTGCTCACTGCCGTCACCCTGGGGGCCCAGTGTGTGGCTGGTATGTAAGAGGGTCCAGAAAACCTGTGTGGAAGGGGTGAATGGTGCTCAGTACTGTAGCTTTGAAGAGAGACTCAGGACTCTATGGGACCCTCTCCGGAGCCCACCACCTTCCCTCCCATGCCATCCCTGCCCCAGCTGGCCCGGCCCCCACACGTCCAGTAAGAGCAGGAGAAGCCCAAGGACTGAGGCCAAGGTCACGACCAGTGCCAGTAGCCCAAGCTGTCGTTACTGCTGCCCCCTGGAACATAGAGGCAGCTGGTCAGCCTGGGGAGGGAAGCCCCTCAAAGCCGACCTTCTAGGAGGCACCAGGGCCAACCACATCAGGAACACAGTGAAAGGAGTCACACAGGGCCAGTCTGTAAACCAAGTCCCTGAATGTCAGGCCAGAGGCTTGCCAGGCATCCTGGAAAAATCCCTTTCCCCGCTTCCTCCAGTTGCCTGGCAACCACTGTGCATCTGGACCAGAGCAAGAGGCAGCTGGGCACAACAGGAGTCCAGGCCCGGCAGCTAGGGCACCTGGGGTCTGGTAGGCTCCCCATGAGATGCACAACAATGTTGGGGGGCAGCTGCTTCTCTCAGAGGCCACCTGAGTTGGGACCTGGAGGCAACAGAGGTTCAGGAGAGCTGTAGGCAGCACCGGGAGTGGGAGTGGGGGTGGGGGGGATCTGATATGCAAAAGCAGCTGCAGGAAGACCCCCACTTCAGCTGGTGGTGCTGCTTTCCTGATGACCCCTAGGCCTTTGCTCAATGGCCCTCCCCCATTAGGGGACTGTCCCCGTTTCCTTCACAGTATTTAAGAAATAAAAGTTGGATTTTCCTGGCCAAAAGAAAAGGGCAAATGACTTGGCCTCTCTGACCCTCAGTCTCTTCTTCTGTAAAGCGGGCCAATGTTGAGCATCTGGGAGGGTCCTCCAGCAGAGAAATGAGAGTGAGCAGGCCTCAGCCCCCAGAGGAGCTCACTCCCAAGGGAGCAGTTGGTATTTCCCCTCACAGAGCCCACTGCCTGCCTCATTCTGCCGTAGGGCCCCCGGTGTGCACCCACTAGAATTGCCTTCTCTGGGGGTGCTGCCCAGGGCTGAGCCACGCTCACGGAAGAAAGGCCCCTGCCTGCCCTTCCAACCCTGCAGGCCCTGGGGTGTGGTCAGTCCCTGAGTTTAGCTCAGCTGCAAGCTGGAGAGCACCCCCGAAGGCCCCTATCCTCAGAGCTGGTGACCAGGAGGCGTGAGGAGGCTTCTGTCACCCCAGCTGCGCCCATTTCACCCATTCGGAAGAGAGGGTCCCCTGCCGGTACAGTTTCCCCGTAACGCCTCCAGCAGCTGTAGGAGCAGAAGAGGCCTCCCCTCTCCCAGTTCAGCCCTGACCGTGCAGATCTGGCCCTCACACTCAGCGCCTCCGGGTTTTCATGCAGGGCCTGAGCATCCGTCCCTGAGCATCACGTCCGCCCTGGGTCCTGAGCCGGGTCCACGAGCGCGGAAATCCCTGTCTGCCCTGCGTCCTGTTCTCGGAGCCCCTCCTTCCCGTTAAATCTGCCGGTGGGGCGAACCGTGAGGGGCGGGGAGGCGGGCTCACTCGCGGGGGACCTCCGCCAAGTCTGGGCAACGCCACGTCTTGGCCGCTGCCCGCCGTTGGGGCAGGCGGGGACAGCGGGCCGGAGCGGGGAGGCTGGCCCCGACCCGCCACGCCGCGTCCCCACGCCCGCAGCCACGCGGAGCCGCGTCCCGGCCCAGCCTCACCCACCCCGGGGGCGCCCACCGCCGCGGCTGCAGGACCGCAGCGTCCTAGCGGCTAGGGGGCGGGGCTGGGCTCGTAAGCTCCGCCCCCAGCACAAGCCCCGCCCGCACCACATATCTTTCAAGCCACGCCCCCAGAACTAAGCCCCACCCACCAAGCCCCACCCCGGCACTGCCATTCATCAAGCTCCGCCCCCGCCGCCGAGTGCCGTTCATTAAGCCCCGCCCCCATTCTAAGCCCCACCCAGTCGGCCCCCGCCCCCCGGTGCTAAGCCCCACCCACCCAGCCTCCCGACCCAAATCTGCTTAGTGGGCTCCTAGTGGAGCAGGAGAGGTGAGAAGTGGGTACACGGGTCCATAGCTAAGGATGCGGGCAATAAAATGTTTAAAAAAAGCAATCAGCTGTGAGCTCTCTGCAGAGCCCCCTTCCTCCCTATGTCACCCCGCCTCCATCGCCCCGCACCCCTGTTCCTGGCCACGCTGACCCAGAGAAAGAAGAAACGCCTTCTAGCTGGCTTTTGCTGTGCTCCCTGCCGGTGGTTACCTGGGGCTCCAGGCTTTTCTTCCAAAACCAGAGCGTTTCTTTGTTGTCGTGGTTGTTAGCAGTGTCATTGAGGTTATTCTCAAGATAATATTCGGGAAAATTCACATACGTGCATTGCCCCCATTCAAAGTGTACCATCCCGCAGAATTGCGCGACCATCACCACTAATTTCGGAACAAAAAGACACCCTTTCGCAGTCACCTCCCATTCTCCCCTCCTCCCAGCCCATGGCAACTACTAATTTTACTTTCTGTTTCTATGGATTTGCCTGTTCTCAAAACCCCAGGCATTTCTGTGAAATGATGTCACCCCATTGTGTAGAAGGAGAGAAAAATGGGGTGAAGTCAGGTCCCCGGGGAAAAAGGTGGCTTGGGATGGGGGGCAGAGGTGAAGGTCTTCCCCCGGCTCCAGGGAGGCCGAGTCCTGTCCACGGGCGACCAGTGTCCACCCAGGTGTGAGGCAGGAGAGGGGACGGGAGAGGGAGGAGAAAAGGGAGAAAGCCGGGGTGCTGGCTGAGAGGCCTAGGATGGGATAGGAAGTGAGGGGGTCATGGCGCAGCCAGGCTTCAAGTGGCCTGGTCGAAGGCAGGGCTGGGTCTGTCCATCTGTGTCCCTCTGCCTCTCATCACCAAAGGAGCCAGCCCCTGTGTGTCCCACGTGCGAGTAGTTAGTTGAAAGAGTCAGTGTTGCCCTGCCTGGCTCTTTGAGTTGGGTCGTCTTGTGCCTGGTCAGGCACCCTGACCCTGGAGAGAGGAGCTCGAAAGAGAAACGGGGAGCAGAGAGGAGGGGCAGGGCAGGAGGGAGAAGTACAGAGGCAGAGGCGGGGAGGAGGTGGGAGAGGAGGCGGGCAGGTGGAGGCAAGGTGGGGCTCCCTCTATAAAGGGGGAAGCCTGCTGGCCTGGCGGACTGGAGTACTTGGGTACGCGCCAGCAGGCACCTGCTCTGGAGACCCTGTAGGCTCTGGTTAGTCCTCACGCTGACCACAGCCGAGAGCAGCGGCAGGTCCCTCTGGCGCGACTTGTCTCCCTCCTGTGCTGCCTGCCTGCCTTGCAGAGGGCCTTGGGGGTGCTTCCAGTGCCCGCTGCTCTCCATTTGGGGTCCTCATCACCACCCACCTCCCCCATTATCCCTGGAGGTGCCCAAGGAGAAGGACCACCCTGCGCTATGAACCCGTGGCTCCTGGCCTGCCTGGTGGCCTGCTGCGTGGGCGCCTGGGCCCCCGCCGTCCATGCTCAAGGTACTGTCTTGGACCAGACCTACCCTGTCTCTCTGGAGCCCCCCTCTCCCCATTCGTCCTTCTGCACCCCCCCATTTGCCCCTCCCCTCGTCCAGAAGCCTCTCCTGATCCCATCTCCACCATGGAATTCTCTGACGGACAGCTCCCGCCCCAGGCATGCAGAAACTCCTGGCCTCTGTGCAGCTCCTTGGGGGTGCAGGGTCCCCAGCCCCTCCTTCCAGAGCCTCTTGGTGCGTCCTCCACAGTCCATCACTCAAGGCCTCCCTGCCGGGTCTCCAGCTGGCCCAGGGACTGCGGGGAGCAGAGGGCGGCTCCCAGCGGAGGCATAGCCGCTTACCGCCAGGCTCGCACTGCAGTAAGCTGACCCAGCAGAGGCGGGGTTGGAGATCAGAGCCCCGGGACCCACAGGGATAGGGCCCCATCCTGGCTCCCCCTCATGGGGCTGCCTGTGCCGTCTGGTTGAGAGCTGCTACTCAGCCTTTCTGAGCCTCAGTTTCCTCATCTGCAAAGTGGGACTCCGAATTCCCACCGCGGAGATCGGACACGTGGATGCATGAGCTGACGCCTGCAAAACTCTTGGCCCCGTGCCTGGCAACAACAATGATACCCATTACTGTTATTAATGGGGAATCCCATCCCTCTTCTCCCTAGACTAGGCCCTTGAGGATTCTGGTGACTAAACGACAATTCTGGGCGCCCAGTGTCCTCCAGGAGCCCTGCCACTGTGTCCTACAGCCCCGTGGGCCCTGGGGGAGGCCGCGGAGCGCCGGCAGCTGGCCAAGCAGGGCCCAGCCCCACCCTCTGCCTCGCCTGCCCCTTGCTAGGTCTGAGAGGCCCTAACCCTGCCCCCAGTAGACCTTAGCCTTTGCCCAGGAGGGGGCTGGGCTTCCTTCCCATTGTCCCGCTATCAGAGGCGCATTCCCGGAGCCAGGCCCAGCCTTTGATCCTGGGGGCAGAGTGGCCCTCAGCCCTGGAAACTGTGTGCCAGGCACTGCAGCCCAGGGTCGTCTGACTCCACTTCCCCTTGTGCAGGGTGGGGGGGCCCTCGAGCCCTCCCCCACCCCCATCCCTCCCACTGTGCTCTGCCAGGACTCAGATGTGGCCCCTGGAGGGAGGGGTCAGCAGAGGGCCTGATCCCAGAGGACCTCAAAGGCCTCTGCACTGTCTCCTACAGGGACTCATCCTCTGCTCATTCCCCCTGCTCAGCCTCCCAGACCCTCTGGGGCACCAGCACCTCCTCGTCCAGGCAGCCACCCACCCCAGGTCTCTGCGCTTCCCCCTCCAGCGTAGATCAACTTGCCGGTCTCCCCACCCAGTGGAGAGATCCCCATGACAACTCTGGGGCCAAGTCCCCTCTGTTTGTCTAGACATCTGGCACCTAGTGGGAGCTCTTTAAATGCTTTTGTTCGACCAACGGGTAAATGAACAGAGACTTCCCGGTTTCTAGCCGGGGAACTCGGAGCGATCACTCTAATGGGGACAGAGAGGAAGAGGTGCTTGCGATAGCCCTCAGTGGGGAAGGGCTAGCCTGGAGCAGGAGCCAGGACATCAGGAGCAGGAGGAGGCACTAGGCTGGGTGGTCCCCGTGCTCAGGGCACTGCACCTGCTCCCCGTGGCCCCCTGTCCCAGAGCAGGAGTAGCAGTGGCCTTGGTCCCTCACCTATTTGGGGGTTCCAGGCCCTTCCCAGCTGGGGCCTTTGGGCCCATCTCCTGCCAGCTGTCCCCATATCAAGGGCCAAAGGTGAGCGAAGTAGCTTCCTTATCACCTGGGCTGTCCCTTGGCCTCGGCCGGGCCCGGGAGGGTCGTGCTGTGAGCACAGGTCCCCACGTCTGTGGCCATCCCTGCAGAGCGCACACACAGCCGTGCATGTGCACGTACAGACGTGAGCCTATGGGCGGCCGTGTGTTTGCAGGAGTCTTTGAGGACTGCTGCCTGGCCTACCACCGCCACGTTGGGCTGGCCCTGCTGCGGCACGCCCAGGGTTACCTGCGCCAGGAGGTGACCGGGAGCTGCAACCTGCCCGCCGTGATGTGAGTGGGACAGTGGGGGCCAGGGGGAGGGGCTCACACACAGCTTTGCTCCCCGCTGCACCCTAACCTGGGCACCCCACCCCCCACCCGCCAGATTCTTCTTCCGCCAGAGGCAAAGGATGGTGTGTGGGAACCCAAGGGCCAGGTGGGTGCAAAATGTGATGAAGATCCTGGATGCCCGGAACAAGGCCCTCTCAAAGTCCCACCATGGAACCCGGAGAAGCTTCCAAGGTGGGTGAGACCCCAGCTCTGCATCTTGGTGCTTACCTTCCCTGCTGTGGGCCCCTGAGCTTCTCAACTCTCAAAGGAGGGGGCTGCAGCCCAGCATAATGACAGCTGCCCCCACCCCAAAGAAAGCCAGTTGCTGGTGAGTGGGAGACTGAGTGAAGGAGCAACTCTTTTAGTCAAGACACTTGCAATTGCTAGAGATGGAAAACTCAAGCAAATGGGAAATTCATTGGCTCAAATAACCAGCCAATGGCTTCAGGTTCGGCTGGATCCAGGTGCTCAAAGGGTATTGGCAGAGCTCTTATCTATCTCTTGGACAGCCTCTCACTCTGGGGTGAGGAAGTTGAACTCTGGAACCTCTGGGCTACCATTGTTCACATTTAGAGATCCCGCCAAAAGCAGCAAGAGGAACGCCTCCTTCCCAACCACAGCTACTCTAGGTAAGGACTCTGATCATGTCAGATCATGATCACCACTGCTGAGGGATGAGGGCTTAGGATCAGCCCAGATTGGGTGAGAGGACTCACCTCCAGGACCAAGGAGGGCTGGCTCTGCAGTCAGCCCTGCAGATTCACACGGGAGGGTCCTAGCTGGCCGTTCACCACCCTGACCCAGCCCAGGGGGCTTTGGCAAGAGCTGAAAGGAAACCAAGAGCTGCAGGGCCCCCGACTCCACTCCAGCCCCCGTCACCTGCCGTCCTCTCCAATCCCGCCTGCAGGACCATGAGCAGCACGTCTCCAGGATCAGCCGGCAGAGATGGGCTGCATCCTTCTCTGCCACAACCATCGCCCTGCAGCCCCGGCTGCCCCAGCCCCTCGCTCATCAGGTCAAATCTGAATCCGGTCCGAGCCTGCGCTGGGTCCCTCCCCATCACCCCTGCAACCCCAGCTCCTCAGGCAGCCGGAAGGAGGGAGCTGGTCTTATTTCAGCCCCTTGCCTGCTCCGGGCACCAGAGTCAGCCCTGCGCAACGGGTCGTCTACAGAATCATCGGGATACGTGGCCTGCCTGCAGCCTCTTGCCACTTACCCCGGGCCACGCCTGCCTGCGTCCCTCTAGGTCCTTGCAAAGCTCCGTCCAAGGATGCCCCTCCCAGCTTTCCCATAACTTTTCAATAAACCTTCGGTGGGACATCATCCCTGTCTCTGTCACGTGTCACGTGGGGGTGTGAGTTGCTGCCCAGCCTGTGCTGAGTCCCCTGTGGCTGCCCCCCCACCCGGGATCTGTGCTCTCGGCCCTCACCGCAGACGGCTGTGTGCCCGGGGACCAGGCACCGGGTGTGCGGGCTGTGGGCCTGGGTGCGAGCCCAACTGGTGACCTTGAGCAAACCGCTCACTCTCCCGGCCCCTCTTTCCTTGTCTATAAAACGGGCCACGTGCTGGCTCTGCCGGGATCCCTGGGCTAGTGGACAGGGAAGCCTTCTGTGAGCTCTGATGGGGGCCCAGAGGCTCCTGAGAAGTCGGGGAATCAGAATCGGGCCGAGGACAGAGCCCCGGGGCCAGGCACTAGAGACCTCTCTCCAGGAGGCAGAGCTAGGCATCAGGGCCCAGGTCACTCACCCAGACTCCAGCCACCCACGAGTGGGCGCTGTCCTCAGGCAGCCTCCGTTTCCACCACAAGAGAGAACATTCTGGATGTAAACCAAATGCACCATGTCTAGAGGACACGAGGCGGCTTGGGGCAAGGGGGCCAGGGTGCAGACTCGGAGGACCTGGGGTCCTCTACTCTGGGGGGTGGACCCGGGCAGATTCCACAAACTCCCTAAGTCTCGGCTTCCCCCCCGTGAAATGGGGTGACAGCACTGCCTGCCTCATACGTGTTTGTGGGGACTGACTGCGCTGCGCTCCGTGACGCACACACACACGCTGAGGACGTGTTAACAAGGCGAGCGTCCCAGCCATCACATTCCGGAGATCCGGCCCAACCTGGGGCCAGGCAAGACGGCATGGCAGGCGATGGCAGGGACACTGGCACAGCTGCCCGACTCTGAACCCGGCTCTGCCACCTGCGACCTGGGGTCACCTTGGGCGAATTGCTTAACCTCTCTGAGCCTCGATTTTCCAATCTGTACAATGGGGATGAGAATAACAGTGTCTATTCCATGGGGCTGTGGGGACGACCGAATGTTTTAAATGCTTAAAACAGTGCCTGGTACGTAGCACGTGGCTGATACCCATGAGGGCTCCCAGTCTTACCACTCACAGTCCGGCTTTGTGCCAAACGCACGGGTCTGAAGCTGGCAGAACCTACCTGCACCCTGGGACCGAGTCCCCCACCCCCAGGTGGAGGGTGGTCTTCACCCACGTCTTCCCCACTCACTTTCTCCTCGGAGCCCTGGGCTGAAGCCCCTCCTTCTCAAGGTTTCCTCCCTCCCAGGGCCTCCAGCTCCCCACATGTGAGCCTGGCCCGGTCCAGCTGAGGGCAGCGTCTGTTTACTTCGAGAACATGCCAAGGGGGCAGACTTAACCCCAAATAACTTTACTGTTGTCTCTGCTTCCGATATAAAAGCATCCTCGCAACCCTCACCCGGCCCCCTGGGGGCATGAACATGGCTGTGTGTCACCAACTTCTGCTCTGAGGGACAAGCCCCATGCCCACCCCAGCTGCCCATTCCTGTCCTGCTGACCCCCAGGGGCGAGCCCTGGTGCAGTGCAGAAGTTGAAGCCTGAGATTGACCAGATACAGTGAGACAGGGGCCCTCGTTGACCCGGGTGGTTGGAGGCGGAGGGTGCACACAGCAGCTCCCAGCTGTCTCCAGAAAGACGGAGTGCTGGGGTCCCCGGGGCAGAGGTTGGGCTCGCTTGAGGTCGTAGCGTAGCATTTCACTCTTCCTGAGTTTCGGGGTTCCACCCGGTCGGCCATTGCCGCTGGAGATGAATCCCTCCCAGCTCCAGAATCTCCTGTCTCTGGAGAGGAGGACGGCAAGGGGGCTCTGCGGCCCATCGAGTCCAGGGCTCATCGCCGGAGTCTCCCCACAGTGTGTAGTGAGCAGAGTGACATCAGAGTTTCCCCAAAACCCCGTGGAAGGAGGCAGGGGTTGGGCGGTGCCCAGGCGGTGAGTCTGCAGGGGGGCTGCGGGAGGGGCCTGGGGCCAGGCTGGAGGGGTGGACTCCTCCTGGCTACAGCAGGTGCAGCCGCACCTTCAGCCGCAAGGCCCGGCCGCCTGGCCCCGGCCGCCCCTCTGGCTGGGTGCCCCAGGGCTCTGCCACGCTCACCACCTCCAGCTGGTAGGTTCCAGGCCCCGGCCTCCGGCGCCCCAGCTGCAGGGAGCTGAGGCCTCGCAGGTGGTGCATGCGGAAGAAACCGTGCTTGTTGCCGCGGGCAATGACGTAGCGCACCCGGCTCCCCAGACTCTCCAGCGCCGGCCGCAGCTCCAGGAGGTGCTCGGCCTGGCCCAGGCGTGAGAGGTTCAGGCCCAGGGTCAGCGGGGCCTCCGAGTCCAGGCTGGCCAGGTTCACCTGGGGAGAAAGACCAGGGGCATGGTCAGAGGCCGGGAGAATCAGAATGTGGTGGGGGCAGGGGGCCACGGAGCCAAGGGGAGACTTCAGCCAATCTCTAAAGAGGAGGACAACGTGGACCACTCTCTGCCCTTGACTTCTGTCTAGTCCTCCATCCACAAGGCCAATGGTCAGCTTGGGCTACAGACAGAGGCATGACGGCGGAGGCTGGTTCCAGGTGGAAGGAAAAGAGGGGCGAGTAGGCAGCCACTTTGTCACACGCTCACTCCAGACTCCTAGTCTCAGCTGAGGGGCCTTAGCTAGATTCCTGCCAGCCTGGGCAGAGGGAATCGAGGATTTGCTCTCAGAGACCCAGATGGGGAGTCTGTCAGATGGCATTGGGTCCCAGAGCCCTGAGGTCACTCAGAGGTGGCCTGGGGTGGCTGGAGTCATGACCCAGGGCCTTGCAGCAGAAGCCAGCCCCCGAAAGACACTGGAGCTGACACAGTGAGAGAAACACAAGATCCCGCTGGGCCAGACAGAGCCGCCCAATAGCTTTCCGGTTCCCAGAGGCCCACTGCACTTCCTGCATCTGGGCTCTTTGAGAGCCCCCTGTGTGTGGATGACAAACCCCTCTTTATCTGAGCTCCTCTGAGTGCAGTCCCGGTCCTGGCAGTGGGATAGAGCCCTGAATAAGCCAGCAAGCCTCAATGATGGGCTAACCCGGGCTGGGGGACTTATCCAATCCCACAGGAGGCTATGTGTTTTTTCCTCTCCTTTGTTTAGGGCAGCGCTGTGTTTGTTCCACCAAATTTACATGCCGATGGGGTGTTCTGCTGCTGCATTAAAGTGAAAGCTCTTCCTGTTTCCCAGCCCCTAAGTTCTGCAAATTTCAGCCCTTCCCTGGGAGAGTTGCTCAGACATGTGCTCTTACTGACACATGCTGGCAGTCTGTGGGTATTGCAGGCAAAGTCACAGCCCAGCCCTCCTCTGTCCAATCGGGCTGGTGGCTGTCCCAGGAGCCCTGACAACCACCCCACTCACTCTTAGTGAGTACCAAAGGCTGGCAATACAAACGCAGCAGACACAGGGCTCTATCCTTGCAAAGCTTACAAAAAATAACAGTAACTATGGGATCCTATATACAGCCACCGTTTTCCCACCAAGGGGGAAAAATACAACAGGAGGGGAAAAGCCAAACTAATACATTCACATTTAGTTGATTGAGTATTGAAAGCTCCTCACACACCACATTCCTATCCCCTTTCTGCCTTCATTTTCCCCCACAGCATTTATCATGGATCCTATTTATCATGTGTTATAAAATACAATGTGTTTTACTGATCTCATGCCTGTCTCTCTATTAGAATATCAGCCCCACCAGGGCAGGGACTTTTGGGTTTTTTGGTTCATTGTTGCTCCATGACACAGTGCACAGCAAGTGTCCAGCAAAATCTGTGGCATGAAGGAGTTTGGTCCCAGATGTGGGTAATGGCTTCCATGCTCAGAGATTTTTTTTTTTTTGATATAATGTAAAGTGGTGGGCTCAGAAGGTGCTGACTGCAGAGGGGCCCAGGATGCCTGGCCATGAAGACCAAGGCTGCTTGTAAAGAGAAGGCCATGTGGCGTAGTCCCTGCTCTGCCACTTTCAAGTCCTGTAACTTGGGCACACGATCTGACCTCTCTGAGCCTCAGTTTCCCCATCTGTAAAATGGGGATGATCGTGGCATCTACACCTCCCAGAGCTGTGGTAAACATTGAGAGGCTGTGAGTGAATGCAGAGTCCTTGGAGCAGTGCCTGCATCCAGTAGGTGCTTAATAAATGTTTCCCTTTCAGAGCTCTTGGGGGATGGTGGCAAGACCGACCAGCAGTGGCCTTGGGGACTGTTGGGCTGAGGGGCCAGCAGGCCGAAGCTGTGACACAGTGCTCTCCCCGCACAACCTGGTGGGGTCACGGTCACCCGGGTCAGGCTGGTGTGGCCCCAGGGGGCAGAAGGGACGCAGCTGCAGGCCTGCTCTGCTGACCCTTAGAGAGTGGGGAGGACCCCCGTGACTTCTAGAGACAAGGTGGGTTCTGGAGGTCCAGGTATATCGCAGGTGCAGGAAAGGGGTGCAGAGTGGAGGGTCTGAGGAGGGGGGATGGACAATGGGGCTAAGCTGGCTGCTCTGGGCCCCAACGGTGCTAAGTCCAGAGGGGCTCCAAAGGAGGGCTTCAGCAGCCAGGAGGCGAGGGGTGACAAGTATCGGGGTGCAGGCAGTGTTGGGGGGCCAAAAGCATTTCTCCTGCATCCAAGTGCCAAGGAAGGGGTCCATGGAAGCATCACAGCCCAGCCAGGGTCCGTGTGGGAGGTGCCTGACTCGTCGCCCAGAGGGAGGTGGGGTGCTCGGGGGCCTGTGTCCCCCAGAGAGCCCCCAGGCGGAAGCCGGGGCTGACGAAGTACAGGAAGACCTGGGAAGGCAGCACAACACGGGGGACAAGACGGCACACGGAGTCTGGTGCTCCCACCCTCGCCCGTCCCCTGGCAGCCCCCGCCACTGACAGTGCTGCTGCGCCTGGTGCATCCCCCTGGCACCTGGTGGTCCCCGCGCGCGCTGCGCCGTGGCCGGTCACGAGGGAGGAGG